TAATAATCTTAATTAAAATTTATATTCCTATGGCATTTAGGGGTTGAAATGACAATAAATTATCTTTTAAAACGGCACGGGGTTTATGAGGGGTCCCTGAAATTTTTTTCGCCCTTGTAAGGGGTTCCCAGACCCAAAAGGTTTGAGAACCCCTGTTCTAGACGTTCTTGGTGTTCGTTCTCCAGCATTCAGTCGCTGCCAGAGCTTGGACTTCCACCATGGTGACGACAGCTTCCTGTTCCGGTGGTGTGAGGAGCTCGTCTCAAAAGCAGAGGGTGCATACAACGCCATCAAGAGGACTCAGTTCAGCTGCGAGGGGGCTTCACAGAAGTGTAGGGCGAGGTAGTAGCCACTGATTGTGAAAGACCCTTACTGTGTGCAGAATGATGTCACTTAGTACCCTTGGTGGGCCCAAATGGGAGTCACCCGCAGGCCTTGAGTTTGACACATGACCTTATAGATAACTGACTTACATAAGAACAAAATGTGTAACAGTTTTCACCCTCAACTGTGAACAATAATGTTGATCAATAACATTTAAAGACCTCCGTTAGTGCTTCTATATTTAGCCCATAAATTTAGTGCAAATCCACTAATGAGTTAAAAAAAAAACAGCAAAATCCCTAAAGTACTAATCAGGAAATTAGTTCCCTTATACAGCAAAAACAGGAGTGTTAAAATTTCTGTGTTAAACTTTTGGGTGTTGATTTAACACCACCTAGTGTTATTTTAACACTTTGAGTAAACTGATACCCATTGTTGGTGTTAATTCACAGTGTTGCTTTCCTCAGTGTTGTATCAACACTGGACAGTGTTAAATATGCTCCACTCACTATTAAAGGCACAGTGTGTAGGATTTTGTCAATTCTTTTAGCCGAAGTTGAGATAATCACTGATGACGATAATAAAAAACATGTCTAATCATTGCAGACAAAGACCTTGTTTTATTATTTTTACCTTTATAAAAAGCTGTTTATATCTCCATGGTTGCGGGTCGCCACTACAGGCAGCCACCATCTTGCACCGCCATCTTGTCTACGAAGGCTCATGAGGACAAACTGAGGTGGCGGCATCAAAAACGGTTTTAGTTGTAATACTATAAATGTAATATTTGTTGTCTGTCACTGTAGCTGGGATAATCTTACCACTTGAAACATCACTAGCCCTGAAGCTGCTGGTAGACATCGCGGTTGGAATTATCAAAGGTTTTTGACACCTGAGAGACACCATAGCAACTCCTTTGCGTTTAGAAGGGGGGGTGGGGGGAGGACCAGGGAGGATGATTCAACCACTCAACCATTAGATGTTGCAGAAAACAACAAATCCTACACACTGTGCCTTTAACAGTGTTGTTATGACACCATGCAGTGTTGAAAGTATTCTGAAAAAGCCCCGCCCTCTTCCACCTCACGTAAGACAGTCCAGTATTTTCTCAGCAAGGAATGCTGGGTAATCTTGTTGAAAGAATGTGCTTGCATGTTTGACTATTGAAAAAAGTGCATGAGTAAAAATGAGTTGTTCTGATT